TGTGCCTCTTTGTCGCTCGTTCCGCGCTCTCGCTTGCACTTCAAGCCTTAAATGGAACGCCTCAGAGCGAGGTAACGCCGCATGAGTCATGTTTTTTCGTGCGTGCAGCCGGCTCCATCGAATTATAAGACGTTGTCACGTCAAAATACATGATGATTCTTACATCTTATAAACTTCACAATTTTCCCGACTATCCTGCTTATTCGCACAGACAACTCTTCATTCTTCTACGAATTTCATCTCGTCCATTTGGTCTTTCTCTCCCTAGCCATCACCGCCCACCCATTCCAAAATTCCTAAAAATAACCGAAGAAGTTCTTCCGCTCCACTCATGATAGACTTTGCGCCACAACTTAGGTCATTAGATCAGTCCAAAAACATGTGGTAATAAAATACAATAACTTTTTTTAAAGAACGAGATCATCTTGTTCGAAATCTTAGAACAGGGATGGCGAACCTTTACGTATCGGCGTGCCATTTTTATAAAGAAAAGTTTATATTATTATAGACGTGCTATCAAATAACTTTGTCTCTGTGATTATTGCGAATATAATAATAATAAATAATATCAGTTCAAAATTCTTTATTTACTACAAAAAAGTAGAAACATTTTGCAGTGTCTAAATTTTGCGTGTAATTAAAATTAGAGTAAAATTAGTGTGACTTCTGTTGTTGCAGATTAGATGACAAATAATTTATGTTAGGGCTGTAAGATGTTACTTTTACCAGAATGCATGCTGAACTGAAGTCATCAGTCAAACGGTTTCTGAAAATTCCTTTGTTAAAGAATCAATCACAGAAACAAATTTTTCAGTAACTTGGCCTTCGTCTGGTTTCTCATGTATTTCTAAATTGTTGTTATATTTTTTCAAATTGGAAAAATACTTGTAGTTTCTTGTGATTATGTCGTTCCTGAAAACTGGCGATGTAGCCACAAAAGCGCGAATGGCATCTATCATTACGATAATTGTTTTATTTATGCCTTATACGTTTAAATTATTTGACGTGACGTGCCCAAAACATTGTGTTGCGTGCTACTAATGGCACGCGTGCCATTGGTTCGCCATCCCTGTCCTAGAATGTTCCCTCATACCAAAGTTTGGCACAACTGGTAAATACATCGTAAGTTTGTTTAAAATAAATTTATTCATTTATAGAAATAGATAGGTCGGAAATGTTTTATAGTGAGTTATTAAATAGCATAAAACTATCGAAAACAAAAACTCTAGAGAGACACAAACGTACATACAATAACCGACATAATTTTTTACAGTACTCATCGTTTTATCCCTCTCACTTCCTGTCAAATCAACAAATAAAGGATCAACAGTTAAGTGAGTTTTAAAAGGTTTTTAAGGTACTTATAGTTTTATAAGCATCCGTGTATGTATTAGCTACTTAACTTATAAATGGCGTAAAATTAATATTTGTGTGTATAATAATTATATGTTATATCGTCTTTAAATTATAAAGTGTTGAAATAAACTACATATTTTAAAAGTAACACAAGTTGCCAACTTGCAATTTTTAAAGCGCTAATGAAACGGTGAAAGTAAAAAACATAAATTTTTATAGCTGCTAGTTTATTGTTCTTTTTTCTTAGTAAATTATAATGCAGATCCATTATATTTTATTATTACAACATTTATTAACAATACATTCTCTT